TTTTTCTTTCTTTGCTTGCCCTTAAAGTGGAGGAAACAAGCGTAGACTGAGTACTGTTATTGCCCTAATGGGAAGGCCTTCGGTTATCTTCCTGGATGATCCATCTGCTGGCATGGACCCAGTAGGCTGGAACCTGGTCAGGAACACAGTTACACGGATCTGTAAAACTGGAAAAGCTATCATAATGACTTCCCAGAGGTATGTTCCACTGAGAGGCTTGGTGGGGAGTTATAAGAAGTTACATTGTGTATGCAGAAATCGAGAGAGCATGGATATGAATTTACTAACTTTACCTAGGGGGTAAATTACTCTGAATTTGCTACAGGGATCTCCAATGAATTCTAAAGGAATATAGAAAGTGAGGGAGCTTTTTCTTTTTCATTTTTTTTAATTAATCATTTTACTGGGAGCTCTTAAAAATCTTATACCAATCCAGTATTCAGTTGTATTAAGCACACATGTATACATGTTGCCATCAACATTTCCCAAACATTTTCTTTCTACTTGCAGGGAGCTTTGTCTATTGTGGACTAAAGCATTAGCTGACTTGAATTTTAAAGCCCTCACTATGATGACTTTAGTGATGATAATCTGCAATACTAGGCCATCCGTGTTGATCATCTACAATACCCATTGCAAAGGCTACCTTGTAATCGTGGCTCTGCTTGAACTACAGAATTTCCCTTTTAAAAGAAAATCTTTTCAGTCATAACTCCTTTGCCTCCCTAGCATGGAAGAATGTGAGGCCCTCTGTACCAGGTTGGCCATCATGGTAAAAGGAAGGTTCACATGCATAGGCAGTCCTCAGCAACTCAAGAACAAGTTTGGTAATGTATACAACCTGAAAGCCAAGATTAATATGGACAAAGATGAAAATAAAGTAAAGGAGTTCAAAGAATTTATTGCGACAACTTTCCCAGGTAATATAAGTAGGGCTGATGTTTAAAACTTGTGCTAAGTCATAGTTGTATTGAGTACTGCTTTATTAAACACCACATTATGTATCAGAAAGTTCTTGCCGTTAATTTTTTTCCCAGTGGTTGTTCTGCAAATATTATTCAATAATTAACATCATCCTGTGTGTTATTGGGGTTTGTTGAGCTTTTATATTGGACTTTGTTTAGAATAGTTTTTTTGTGTGTGAACATCTTACTCCTTAGAAGTTTTCCCTAAAAAACTTTCACAAAATAGCAGCGGCTTGGCCAAGCTCCTATAGGAATCAACTGATTTGGGGTCCTCAGAATCAATTATTTGGTTTTCCATCATTTCTTATGGGAAAAATATGCTGAGTTCTCAAAGTTTTCAGTGTTTGAACACAACTTTGGAATGAATTGAGTTTGACAACCGAAGTATCACTGTAATTGGTTCTGAGGCCCCAAAGTTACACTTATAAATTCATTTTTCCAGGATGTTAACACAGAGTTAATAGCCCTACATAGTGGAAATTCTCCTGAAAACATCTAAACACAATAAATATACTATATTAAATATCAAAACCCAATGCAGTAAAGAAAATTTTGATATTTTACATTTAAAAAGCGTCCCCCC